CTCTCTCTCTCTCTCACACACACACACACACACACACACACACACACACACACACACACACACACACACACACTTTTAGAAACTACCTATTATGTTAAGCCCATGCCCTTGCCAATGCAAGATTCTTCCCTACAGTACAACCTCCTCTCTCTAGCAAGAAAAGACCTTTTTATTTAAAATGTTCCACTTACTAAGAACCTTGTTACACATCTCACTTCAAGGCCCAATCCAATTTGCCTTAAAATTAATGAGATTATTCTCATTGAGTGCACTGAGAGTTGGATCTGGTTCCTTTACTGAAGTTATTTTGGTGACAGCAGTGGGAAGGCTTAAATCCAGTATGATTCTTAGTGTAAAAAACTTAGTTCAGACCATAAGCTAAAACAGCAGAATGAAGAGTGACCATTATGCTCGTTTTTTATACTGCTAAGGCTGCTTAACGAATGAGGTCAAAGTTCCCTAAACTCAGATAGTGGTGGTATTCCTAACATATCCTGTAGTTTTATTCTGGCTGCTTGGATGTGCAACCCCAAAAGCTTTCCTCCTAACTAGTTTTGTTTCTAGAAACTATTGGGTTAGGTCAAGCAAAGGGCATATTTTCAGTTGGTGTTAGATGAAAATAAATATACATTTTTTTTTTAGCATCAATATTTTTATGTGATTAAACCACCTGTCACTACCTTAGCTCAAAAAGGCTTGGCAAAAGTACATTAACTGTGCAGATGATAGTGATGGATCCTGAGTTCACTAAAAAGTACCAAACTGCAAAATTTATTAAATTATACTTCCAGGCTCTGCCTTATCACTTCACTTTATATATTTCAGTATAAAATATTCCCATAATTGAGGATGGGTAATAAGTATAGCTAAGTAATATGTTCTTGCAAAAAAGGTTTACAGATACGAAGTGTTGGAAGTCTTAGAAGCCCTTTAGTTAGGGAAGACTATTTGAAGGGAAATTTAGCACTAGTAAAGTATTATATGGACCAACATCTTTTCCTGTAACTACCCTGAAATAGGCTGCGTTGTTTCTATTCAGAAATCTGAAGTGGCACAGTGGATGACTAGAGCTGGTAAAATTTTTGTGAAATTCCAATTTTTGGTGAACTATCTCATATCTCATTATTATTATTGTTGTTGTTGTTTGTTGTTTTTTAAACTAGCTCTATGGATAAACATAGTAATACAAAAGTATACCCACTGCAGTAAGGTGGTCTGGGAAACTTGACTCTTTAATCCTTGCCATTCTAGTACACCTGGCAAAACTTCATAATACGCTATATTTACATAGTACTTTGAATCCTGAGAGATCCCAACTTACTCTTAAATTATTAATCTAGTGTGTAAAAGTAAGATACCTACAGCTTATATTACCTCTGCATTCAAATTATAATAATTCCAAGCACTGGAATCCTGTAGCTGGTACCTCTGCTAGTTTGGGAAGTCTTATTGAGAGTTTTTGCGATAACAGATGGTGGCGTGACATGGTGATGATGACTTTAATGAATTTGAAAACATTCTAGATATAAATATGGGCAAAAGAAAATCCTAAACCATGAGCAATACCATTTTTTGGGACAGGTATATCTTAATCACTAAGCCTACAGTGTGGACAGACAGACTGAGGGTACGGTTTTTGGAAGGGTTCCGTTCTTTCCTGAGGATTCTGACTTGCATGCAGGTACCGTACATTTAATAAAGTTTTTCTAATGTGCCATTCCAAAGATATTGGAATATTTGTCATCTGTTCACATAGTACTCTCCATGGTAATGTTCTGCATGTTGCAGACACAAAACTGAGATCACAGATTCTTAAATCTGTATCTTGGGTGAGTGGGGGTAGATGTAACACCATACCTGTTTTAGCCATCTGTGAACAGCCTACGTTTTTCCCGTCTGTTTATGGGATTTTCTGTTGTTTAAGCATTTGATCATTTACCTTGGTGAATATTCTATGGGGCCCTTCGTTGCAGGGGATGGAGGAGATACAGAGACAGATCGGTCAACATATCGAGGTGGACCCGGATTGGGAAGCAGCCATTACTATCCAGATGCAGCTGAAGAACATTCTTTTGATGTTCCAAGAGTGGTGTGCCTGTGATGTAAGGAAATACTATTTGTGGTTCTTATGCATGTGGCTGTTGAGTATATTGTTTAGTGAACTAGAAGCTTTTCTGAAAAGCTGCACTATTGCATGATACAGAACCTTATAGTTCCCCTTCTTTTAAAAACCAACCCATTAACAGATTATTTTTTAACAATCTGCAGTTTGTTCTTTTACTAACTACATAGAGCGTGGTTACCTGACTACTTGTTTGTTTGAAAGGAAATTTCAGGCCTGCAGAGACTTAAGTTTCTGCAAAAAAAAAGTCCCATTCCTCTTCTGGATAGTAATATAATCTGATACCACAGTGGGTATGGTACAAGAACCTAGTTAGGGAGTATAGTTGTATTTAGACACTAGCTTATAATCATCTGTATGTATTATAGCTGTACCTGATATTAAGCACCACCATAGTGAAGTCTGTTAAGCATTTCCATTGTAATCTCCTCTTCTCACAGGTTTGTAAGTTGACTAAAACTAAACTCACTTCAGGTTGAAACCTAACATATTGGATCAGGAAATAATTTGTTTCTCAAATAATGGAGTTTGGAAATAGTCTACTGGAGTACGTTGAAAGATGTAGTACACATGGGCTATTTGTCTGATTTTATTTAGCAGTGCAGGAAAGGAAGGGGATGAAAAATTAAAGGGAGAGGGAGGAATCCAAAAACTGAAAATGGGCAAGTCACAATCTTTGTTTTCAAAAATCAAAACAAAATGAGATTTTAAGTCAAAACAAAATGGACAATTTTTACTTTGAATTGTGGATTTGAAATGAAATTTTTCATTTCAGATTTGACAGTCAAATTCAAAAGATTTTATAGAAATTCACATTTTTCCTTGGAAAATTTTGATGAAACGATATTTTTGATGGGAGGGGGGGATTTTATGCAGGTAAATAGTAATGATTAATATATAGGTTTAACAAATGGGCAAAACTTTGTTTTCTGTAGCCTTCTACATGTACATTAATATATGGACCTGTACTAAGGAATAAAGAAATAACTGTCATGGATTTTTAGTGACCTCATTAAACCATGAAAACAAATGGCAGGAGGATGAGGGGTGTATTTGTGTGTGGGTTTTGTTTAATGAACTGCATTAAAAATCTTTTCCATTTTAGGAAGACCTGTTGCTGGAGGCTTACAAAGAGTGCCATACAGCTGTGATGAGGTGCAGCACAAGTAGCCATTCACGGGAGAAGATAGTGCTTCAGTTATGTGGCCACACTTTGGAAAGCAAACGTTACAGAGTGTCAGTAGACCCTGTCAGCATACACCTGCCACTGTCCAGGATGCTTGCAGGTGAGAATCAACATGCTTTATTTTTTGAATTGCTTTTTGTAATTGGAGTTTCATCTTTCATCTCCTCTTCGTCATTCTTCAAGTATGTTATTTATTCTCTGGCATTGTCCAAAAATGTATTTATAGTTTAAATGTGGAAAAGTAGTCTAAAATTTGTCAAAATAGCTATTGCTTTGTACTGGGTTTAAAAGTTAAATGTGGTTTCTCTGGAAATTATTGTTACCCAAGTTAGTGTTTTTATAGCATCAGAATAAGTATATTGAATAAATCATGTGACTATAGTATATTTTTAGGAGGGGGAAATCTCACTACATAGGAAATGATTTTAAAATTTTACTGTACTTTAAAAACAGATTTGAACTTTTTCAGAGGCAATGCTCTGGTCCCCTCCACCCTGAGTTTCAAATTGCAGAGTGAGTGCAACTTGCTTATCACCTGTGGCAGTGTTTCCCAAACGGGACTCCACTTGTGTAGGGAAAGCCCCTGGTGGGCCGGGCCAGTTTGTTTACCTGCCGCATCCGCAGGTTCGGCCGATCGCAGCCCCCAGTGGCCACAGTTTGCTGCTCTAGGCCAATGGGAGCTGCTGGAAGCGGTACGGGCTGAGGGACGTACTGGCCGCCATGTCCAGCAGCTCCCATTTTCCTGGAGCAGTGAACCGCAGCCACTGGGGGCCGCGATCGGCCGAACCTGCAGACACGGCAGGTAAACAAACTGGTTCGGCCCACCAGGGGCTTTCCCTACACAAGTGGCATCCCAAGTTTGGGAAACACTGACCAGTGGGAAGGAGGAGGGGATAATTTGCAGCACCCTCTTTTGTCAGGGAGCCTTCTTTCCTATAAGGTTGCTGTGACACTGAGTCTTGCGGGGTGTACGCGGGGGAGGGGAAAGAGGGTGGTTTTTGATGGTTTGGAAGAGTTAGCAAATCAGAAATATTGATTTTAATATGAACATACAAACCCAAAAGAGAGCCTGCTTAGGGACTAGGGGCCCTAACCTGCATTTAAAAATTCAGTCCATAACAGAGAAAAACAGCATGAACAGACCAGTGGCCAAGCTTGGCACACACAAAATCCCAGTTAGTAAACAACAACAACAAATTTTTCTCTCACCTTCCATAAACATCTCAAATCTTATACCCCTTGACCTATACAAAGAGATGGGCTTTGCACTCTAAAGGTCAAGAAGTCTGGGTTATTTTAAACCCAGATGATTTGGGGAGAGAGCATGAACTGCAATGGGAATGCTGTGCTGGCCTAAACTGAGGAAACTCTGACACTAGCACTTCCATAGACCCAATTGTAGCCATATTTCATGGGGGAACAAGAGGCAATCTCTCAAGTCAGCTAGTCCCAAATCAGAAGCTGGGCATGAACAACCCAGGATGGATCACTCGATTGCCTGTTCTGTTGATTCCCACCGAAGTCCCTTCAGACAACAGGGCTACATGATCACTGTCATTACACAGTATGGCTCTTCTACACAGCCCTAAATAAGAACATACAAAAGCAACACATTTGTAAACTCTCCTCAGAAACTAACAGGTAAATTAGTATAGATCAGTGGTGGGCAACCTGCGGCCCGCGGGCTGCACGCAGCCCGTCGGGGTAATCCACTGGTGGGCTGCGAGACAGTTTGTTTACACTGACTGTCCACAAGCATGGCCAGCTGCAGTTCCCAGTGGCTGTGGTTCACTGTTCCTGGCCAACGGGAGCTGCTGGAAGCGACAGCCAGCATGTTCCTGCAGCCAACACCGCTTCCCGCAGCTCCCATTGGCCGGGAATGGCAAACTGCAGCCATTGGGAGCTGCGGGCAGCTATGCCTGCAGACAGTCAATGTAAACACTGTCTTGCAGCCCACCAGCGGATTACCCTGACGGGCAGCAGGTTGCCCACCACTAGTATAGATCCTGGGGCACTGGTATCATAGTCATGACCAGATCCCCTGCCTAACAAATAAGCACTTGCATTTTGCATTAGTTTCAGTTTCCAAGTAGATTTAAGATATAGCCCTATGTAGAGCATACTGCAGTAGGCTGATCTTGAAGTGACAAAGATTACAGTAGCTATGTCCACACTTAAAATAGAGGAATGGCTAGGTGCTAATCTGGAGAGTGGTAGAGGGGAAGCTATCCTAGGTGCACGTGATCATTTAAAAGCCACTGAAAATCTAAGACCTCCATATTGCTTCCCCCACTCTACCATTATCACCATGGCATTCTCTGGACTGAGCCTTGGCTAATGTACTTCTTTCTATGCCCCATTTGCTGCTAAACACTGACAGATGCTCAATTGCATCCTCTGGGCCATATGAACTGGAGATGTAAAGCGGGGAATTTTAGGAGAATGGAACTCTGTCTATTCATGAGACCACTTCCTTAACTCCTGAGGGAAGATCCTCAGAACAGGTCCCTCACTGTGACAAGGAAATTGCAGCCCTGACTTCAGACTACAGGAGGCAGTAATTAGTCCATGGCATGTATAACATCCAATCCTGCAGTCTCTTATTCTAACCCAAACACCAGCTGGCCACACATAGTAGATCTGCAGACTCTGCATGAGTTTGCACAGACAACTACCTGGGATAATCCCATTATGGTCATGGTAGTCAGGAAATCTTGGGATAACTCAGAATAATCATAATCTATGTGGATTGCAAAATTCCTGGGCAGTGTTGGCTTTGATGATTTCATGTTCCCATAAATCAAGAGGAACTTCTTCAACTCATATAGGGACTTTGTGGGGCAGCAGGGCAATCTAAGCACCAACCATTTGTACTGTCTTATCACAGGATTTACAAGCCAAATAGATTTACCCTATCAGACTTAGTTTTGAGGGAAGATTCTTCCTACATTTAGGTTGCATGCAAACAGCAGAGCTACACATCCTTTTGACCATCACCACCATTTAGCTCTATGCTGCAGAGTGCCTAGCTGAAGAGAAGGAAAAAGAGTTCAGCAGTGTCAACCACTGCCCTATATCTTACTACCATCAACATCTCTTCTTCTCCCCTTACCCCCCAAAAAAGACACACCATTTTTCATGCCAGTCCAGATTTTCAGGTTGAACATGAAGGACCTATGCAGCGAGTAGCTATTGCTTTCCCTAAAGTCCAAATAAAACCAGATGCTGTTCCTAAACTGTATTTCTTGTCACTGCACTGGCCACGAAGGCAACTTGTATCAGATCTTGTAATCTTTAGTGAGAATGCTCCCTTGATTACATAATACGTGACCACAGATTGCCACTTAAGCACGAAATCGTAAGTTTGTAAATACTATTTAGCAAACTCTGCTTATAGCTTGTCAGGTTTATCTCAGATTTGCAACACTTTGGTCTAGCATTTATAATCTGATTGAAAAGCTAATTTGGTTGCCTTTGATTTATGGTGACTTTTCTCTTCTTTGTTCTATAGGCCTACATGTACGATTAAGCAAGACTGGAGCAATCTCAAGACTGCAGGAGTTTGTGCCTTTTGTAAGTGTCTGCTTCAGATGGTAACTGAGCTTGGCTTTTATTGCTGAATTACTTTCTGGTGAGCATCTTAATAGTGAGGGAAGAGAAAAGATGGTTAAACACTATTTCTAATAGTTTTCTAGAGCAAATTGTGCAGAAAAAGAAATGGTTGGTTTGGTTTCTTTTTAAATACCAGAGAGCTCCCTAGGAATCCTCTGCACTAAATCAACATTATAGGAAGGAAAGGACATACAACCTTACTTTAGAGGCATTACTAATGTTCAAGAGAGAGTGCTAAATCCTCTGTGGTTAACTTATTCCCTGAAAAATAATAGTATCCCACCTGTCAACTGTTCTGTCTGTACCAGCTTAAAATTCCTAGATGACATTTGATCCCAGGTTTTCTGTGTAGCATTACAATGTGCTGCTGTTTTGACTCAGAGTTCAAACTGTTCTCTTTCTCAAGAGATATCTGTTATATGTTTTGAACAAGTACTGCTTTTCCCTCAGTGTTCTTATTTTTGTACCCCTAGAGATTCAATGCCTAGTAAAATCCTTCCACTGTAGCGGGATCAATGGTACTACACTATTTTCTATTGTGCCAATTGCTGTAGTAACTAATTTTTCTTCTTCTTCAAGTATGTCCCTGGGGTGCTTCACTTCAGGCTGCATCTTTGGAGATTTTTGATAGTAGTCATGTGTCCTATACATCCTTGTGCCCTGCACCAAGGCTATATAGGGCTGCGTGGTTGAACTAACCCCAGTTCCTTCTCAACTGCTTCTGCCTGAGACACAGCATTAGGTGCCTTTCTATTTGAAAATACACTGTCTCCCACACCCACCCCGTTCTGGCCGAGCGCACACAGAAGTCAAACATGGAGCTGAGCTGGGATTCACCCAGTTATGCCTTGTTAACGAAGTCCATGAAATCGATAACACCATCCAGAGCCTTTGGCAAACGTTGAAGGACAGAGGACACCTTGCAGAGGACACCTTGCAGATGTTTGGGGGGAGGGATAGCTCAGTGGTTTGAGCATTGGCCGGCTAAACTCAGGGTTGTGAGTTCAATCCTTGAGGGGGTCATTTAGGGATCTGGGGCAAAAATCTGTCTGGGGATTGGTCCTGCTCTGAGCAGAGGGTTGAACTAGATGACCTCGTGAGGTCCCTTCCAACCCTGATATTCTATGATTCTGTGTTGGTCCGCAGCAAATCCAACCTGGAGCATGACCTGGCTGTCAAAGCCAACTCTCTGTTCATTGATCAGGAGAAACATCTGAGAATGCAGAAAACCTTCCCCAATACTCTTAGGCTGGTGGGGTGCACGTAGGCCAATATAGCCCTAAAGATAGTTCTGCACTGATTAATGAAATCATTTGTGGGGGAGGTTTCCTCGGTTGCATGCAGTGTTTTAATATGATGTGATTTATATTTTCACTTATTAAAGGATGTACTAAATAGGAATAAAATTCTGTCTCTCTCTCGCTCTCGGTCTCAATCATTTCCCCCCTTATAGGATGGGGGAGGGGTGGGGCTTTTTCCTCAGATCACTTTTGCTCTCCAGGCTTCAAATGGTGCCTCACTTGCTGGGAAGCTATCCTGGTCAGTGATGGGCATTTCCAGTGTATCCACTGCCTCGGGAGTTGCATATTCCTCAAAAATGCTCTAGCTGTTCTGCTTTTAAGGGTAGGGTCGAAGAGAAATCATGAGATAAGGCTCAGACTCTTCATGATGGAGCATTTTCTCCACCCAGCTTCAGACCTAGGCCAGGACAAACCCCCTGACATCAGTCTGGGAGTGAACACAGTTCCCCTTTGATTTTGGCATGTTCACCTGGATCTACTTGAGGTAAATCCTCGGGGAAGACCCATAAAAAGGTGACCATTCTCCTCAGAAGGAGTCTACTTAAAAGAAGTCTTGGTGTCCTGCAACTAAACAACTGGGTACTGTTGAGTCTCCAGGTACTATCAGTATTAACCTCATGTGAGTGGCTCCAGGCTCTTCTAAGAACAGAGGCACCAAACATGCTTTCGTACCAAGACTGTCTATACTGCAGAAGCAGAGCTCAAGAGTTTAAGCACTCCTTTTCTAAGAAGGTGGTACCTATAACTCCTTCGGTAATGTCTGTACCTACATCATTCTCCAGTTCATTCTCGGTACCAGGTAAATGCCATGCCTCTCATACAATCTCGGTGCCTTCTAAGACATCCTCATTGGTATTGACTACATCTACCAGGAGAGACCTATTGGAACAGCTTATGTCTGCAGTGGTCATGCAGAGAGCATCTTGGTTTCAGCTTTAAGAATTTCCAAGGGAGGCCCAAAACACTGTTGAATATGGTGGAGATGCTTTGTCAAAGAAGAGAGACTTGCATTGTACCCTGAAATTTTTACATTCTGGATTAGTTTGATCTCCTGTGTTCATTCACTCCACAGCTGAATTCCAACAACTGCAAATGTTTTACTTACAGCTCTTAAAATCTTCTTGAATTTTATAAGTTGCATTGTCTGTGAGGATTGCACATATCTTGGCAGATCACTGATGGAGACATAATTGCTGATGTCTCTGGGTTGACTTGGTGGCTTGGAGGCTTAGAACCATCAGTGGAAATGTATAGGAACCATAGAAGGGATCAGAACACTGAGGAGATAAGTTTACGGTGGCCCTTCCTATTGAGGAGGTTGGCAGATGCGTTCTGTATAAGCTGGAGCTTCTGTCTTGCAACCAGATAGTGATTTACAGCATTTTAGTTTGGACATGAGGAAAGTATGGATCACTGTGACCAGATTCTTGTCCTGGAAGAAGGAGTGATGTTCCCTATCAAGGTGTAGGTGGAAGGCACTTTTCACCACTGATGCTGCCTGATTATATATAATTAGGAATGACCTTGAGGATTCACACCACTTTTATCAACGGGGAGTGTGGAGCAAATGCCTTACATGCAAGCGGAGACCAAAGTCCCAGCTAGGTTTTCAAAAGTTTTTGTCCTTTCGACCAGTATCTCTTCACTCTTGGATTTAATTTGAGCCAACTGTTCCCCATCTGTGAACTGCTCTCTTGTACAGTCTTGCAATGGTGCCAATTACATGTTGAATGTGAGGTATGCAGCAGGGTGTCACCTGCATGTTTTTGGGACTGGAACATGTGATAGCTTACCACCTTTTCAAGTAGTTCCATGTAGACTTTGAAGAAGGAAAGGATTGCTGTGGGATCTCTGTGTACCTTTGAGGTCCTCTTGGAGAGGAATGGTTGGAACCACTGTAGTGCTGAGATATCTACTCCAGACATGTTGTAGGCAGGTCAGTAGTATGTTGTGATCAACTCTATGGAAAGCTGCAGAGCGGTCAAGCAGTACGAGCATTGAGATGTGGCCTTTATTGCCATAAGGAAGACATCTTTTAGTGCTATGAGTGCTGCCTCTATCTTGTCCCTTGGTTTGAAGCCTAACTGAGTAGCATCCAGAATGTTGGCAGATGTCATATATTGTTGGAACTTGATTACTACTTTCCTGATTTTTATTTAGCTGTAAAGCTGGTCTGCATTAAATGTTGACTTCCTGAGGATTGAGTAGACTATTGCATTTTTCAGGAAGGTTGAAAGATTCACTTCTTGGAAGATAATGTTGAAAATTTCTGTTGAGTCGGCAATATTATTATTCCCTGGTTCTCCCAGCCAGAAAGGGACTGGGTCTGCTTTGCAAGTGGTGGCTCAAATATTTCTATGGGTTTCTTGAACTTCAGTGGGTGTGATGTGGCCAACTCCGGGGTAGGAGTGGGACTTAGTGTTTCCTGGAACAATTTTAAAAGGTCTGCCTCAGAGTTACTTTCCTATTTGTGTTATCTTTCCTACTAGTAAGAGAAGGATTCCTTACAGTGGCTGCTTTGGGGCTGATGTTTGGATTACATAGATGAATTGATTAGTCAGTTCACTCTACAGAACAGCAGTTGTCTCAATGTAACATGGGCACTGATACTAGAGAGATACTGCAGAGCCCCTGCACCCATGTGAAGTCCATTTGAACTCACTGAGGCTCCACATAACCACCTACCTGGTTCAGTTTGCTTGATCAGGGCTATGTTGAGCACCAGAGTAGAAAATAAATTATGATGGGATCAGAAGGCTTTAAAAGGGGATGCCAAAAGGAAAACTGAGTTCAAAATATCCCTCTGTCCTAAGAAGTACTATTTTCTTTTGTGTCCAGTTTAGGTCTTTTGTATTATCTTGTAATCACTGATTTTTATTTTTTTTTATTCGTCAAGATTTCTACTATATTAAATCTATTGACCGTTTTAACTACTTTGATTTTTTTTAGGAACAATTCCAAGTGGAGCTGCTAGTGGAATACCCTTTGCGCTGTCTAGTGTTGGTTGCTCAGGTTGCTGCAGAGATGTGGAGAAGGAATGGGCTCTCCCTAATAAGTCAGGTACTCTCTGTAGTATGTATTCGTGATTGTGTCCTGTTAGTTTGTGCCAACATTTCCCATTGGTAATAAGGATGGCTGATGCACCTGATCCAGAAGAAGCTCATGTGGTAAGCCTGCATAACATAAGTATAAATTACTTCTGGGGGAATTGTGTGCCACTGCATGTGCGCAGAATTCATGTCCCCTGCAGATTTCTTTGCTTCCCCGCAGAAAAATGACACACTGACAGGGAAGCAAAGGGAAGCTGCAAGAGCTGTCATGCACCACTCCCTAGCTGTGCAGATACATTGTTTCAGGCACCCAGAGCAGCTGGTGGAGAGGTAAATCACCACAGGGCTTGGGACTCTCCAGCCAGTGGCTCCTACCCTGAGCCGGTATCAGCTGCTAGTCCCAGCTGGACTGGAGACAGGAGAGGACGGGACTTTCTCTTCCCCTGGAAGGAGTGGCTGGGGCTGTGTCAGACCCACCCCCAGAAACCACCTCCAGGAAGCTCAGCATCCTCCCCTGCTTCCTGCCTCCATAGCTCCTCAGCTGCGGGAGGAGGGTGACTGTACGGGGAGCTGCTCACCCATCCGCCCAACCCCCATGCATCCGGACCTTCCATACCCAGACACCCCCACCAAGCCTCACCCTGTACACCCAGAACCCCCCTAGGCCTCCATACCCAAACCCCATCCCATTGAACCTCAGCCCTTGCATCTGGAGTCTCCTGCATCCAGATGCCATGCCTCTGGACCCCCACTCCTGCACCCAAACTACCCCCAACTGAGCTCCCTGCACTCAAACCCTCACCCTGATGAGCCCCATCTCCCTGCACCACCCTGAACCCCCAAATCCATACCCCCACACCACTGACCCCCAACTAGCTGCATCCAGACCCCCACCAAGCCCCACTGCCCCAGCACCCAGGCCCCCCTGCTGAGAACCCCACACCCAGACCCCTCCACTGAGTCCCAGCCACCTAGAACCCCCTGTAGAGTCCAATTGCCCCTGCACCTGGAACCCCCCCCAGTGAGCCTCTGTGCATCCAGATCCCTCCACACCCAGACCCCCCACTGAGCTGCCTGCACCCAGATTGTCCCACACAGAATCCTCTCACCCCACACCTGGATTCCCCCCCATAGTGATCCCCCTCCACACTTGGATCCTGCCTGGTTGAGCCTGCTTGCCCCACACCTGGTGCACCTGGCACAGAGGGGCAGGGCCTCAGGGAGTTTGGGAGCAGGTCCAGGCCTTGTGCTGTGTCAGGGTCGGGGTGCAGCCTCGCCACTGAGTCTGTGTCCCAGGGGTGGGAAGGCAGCAGGGTGATCTCCCACCTTTGTGCAGCCAGTGGCCTGTGCTCCCCACTGCCATGCTGGAGCTTCTACATTTATTTATTGACAAATAAAACTTGATTTTTTTTTATTGCAGAATTTTTAATTTTTTGTCACAGAATTTTTAATTTTTTGTCACGGAATGCCCTCAGGCGTAATAAATGTAAATACCAGGGTACTACTTAGCCTAGAGTTATCATTGTGTGAAAAAATGTAAAATGAAGATCTGCAAGTCCCAAAGGACTCTTAATGGGGTACCTCTTAATTATCAATAACAAGCACTTCTGTAGTGCGTTGTATTTTGTAGATGCCATGGAAAACTAAAGGCAAAATTCTGCCCTTTAGATACATGAATATAATCCCCTTTTGTTTCAGTGTGAAATAAGAATGCTCCACAGCTTTGGAGAACCTGGGATGTTGTTTAACTGGTGAGGAGTAAGTGATTAATAGCTGAAGATGTTACATTTACCTTATTTTCCCTATTTAGTGGGTGCAGGTTAATCTAAGACTATGAATTGAAACGAGAGGTGTAATCTAATGGATTGTACAAAGACTTGAAAGTCACAGTATCCCAGTGTAGGCTCACTTTAAACTTCTGGGAACAAATGTTTGAAGCTTTTTTTTTGTGAAAATAGAATGTGCAGGAAATATAAAGGAATTTTTTAGATGACTGTTTTTTCTCTAGTGAAACTTTGTTTGTATTATTTATTTACACAGGTGTTCTATTACCAGGATGTTAAATGTAGAGAAGAGATGTATGATAAAGACATCATCATGCTGCAGGTAGAAACCTTTTAAATTACTGCCGACACAAAGTACTTCCCAGTTCCTTGTCTCAATCATCAAATTTTGTGTGGTTTTGCTTTTAATTTTAATTAGTGCTATGTAGCAACACAAATTATAATAAGCTTCCCTATATCTGGATAGTACCGATTGCACAAATGACCCAACCGTACATTGCAAGTCATACGATGTAGAAATTCTTCTCTACTTTTTATTGTAATTTCTTGTATGCTCTGCACCACTTTCCCCATCTCATGTTTGAACCAAACACAGATCCTCTACCTTGCCTAGTAGTTGAAAGCAATATACTTATGAGTGACTTACAAAGATGGCCAGATAGGATATTTAAGTTAGTTCTTTAGTTCTGTTTTTGGGTGTGGTTTTAATGTCTGTTAACCCTTGAAAGGGAGCTAAGACTTCCAAAAATATCAAGAAGCTATGCATTGATTTTTCAACTGAAACACTTTATAACATTAATTTGTGTAGCCCATAATTTTGTGCTTTAAATCTTGAACTGCTTTCACTGTGTACTTAGCTCTGAATTTGTTAGCTTTATTTCCTATTTAAAATTGATGTTGAAAGAGGGATATTTTTCATACTTGAATGAAGAAATTTGATGCTAACTAAAGCTCTTGGGATGTGGGGTATCTGGCAGATTGGTGCATCGTTTATGGATCCAAACCTTTTCCTGTTGCTGATACTACAGAGGTATGAGCTTGTCAATGCCTTCAAGAAGATCATGCCCACCAAAGACCAGGTAAACAGCAAGGAACTATTCATGAACTCTCCTCTTTCAAGGTTATAGAACATCAGCAAGGAAACTAGCTCCAGCTGTTTCGCTGCAATCATAAGACCATACCAAAAATAGTAACATACGTTACAAGTGATCCAATGGTTAGCTAAGTGATTTTTTTTCTCCTCGGTAGTAGAAAGTTTCTTGTTCTCAGTGTAAAACAAATAGGTTTTGCTGTCTTCAGTGTCTCTGTCCAAATTGCTTGCTAGTTACCATACAATTCAAATAATGTTAATACTGGAATGGCATGTGATTTTATCAAAGAAAAGCAATGCGTCTTTCTCATCTAATTCTCTCCACATTCTGTGTTAATATCTTGTTTCAGGATGTTTTTGGTTTGCATCCTTTATCCTCTGTATGCATTAAGTAGGATTACTGTTTGTATACAGAGCAGGTCTCTCTATCAGTACTGTTGTCTGATAAAAATCAGGAAGCTTTTCCCCCTCAATACATCTGTGTCTTTTAAGGCATATTCATGTATCTTTTTATTCTGAATGCAGTTTTCCTGATTTCTTCTGTCAATTCTTCAGGGTATGTAGGGTTTTCACCTACCTCTTCATTCAGGACACAATTTTCCCAGTTATATCCCTTCCTACTATGTTAATTTTGCATTTTATTCACAGAACAATACCCACAGATGATCGTCAAGGCAGTCTCTCCAGATTGTAATGCTTCAGGTTGGAGGGTGGTTTTCCTATTAAAACAGTAAATTGGTCTCAGCTCAAATGTTCACAATGTCATCTATGGAAACCCTTAAGTTAAATGGGAAACCCAGGCTTGAAGTTAACTGCATTATTCCCTGACCCAGCAACTTTTTTTGTTTTAAATTTTTTTTTTTAAACCTATAGGATTTGACCAAGCAATGTAATATATTAATAGAAGAAATGCTGCAGGTTCTCATCTATGTTGTGGGTAAGAAACTCTGTTTACAGTAAAAATGAGATCTGATTTTTGTGGTTTGGGATTTCTTTTGCTTTTTGGATTGGCTGTAATTTAGCTTCTTTTCTCTCTGTAGGGCAGTAGTTAAAAAGCTATGGATATTTGCTGCTGGAAAGGACAGACTTGATGGATGACCTTTTCCATTAGACAATTCTCTGTATTTTAATTTAGACAGTTGGGGTTGACACTGGCTAACTCTTAAGTAGTTGGTTCTGTGACACACAAACATGACATCTGAAACTAATGTGTCTTGTATACAGTATAGGCTGTTAGATAATTCCACAATTTGTTATTCAAGTATAATATAAAGAGAAGAACCTATTCCTTAACTTTATGCCTGATATCCGTTATCCTGATGTGATGATTTAACTAACTAAAATATTTCTAACGTTATATACGTTGCTGTACCATATAGGTGACAATACTTGAGAAAGCAAAGCAAATTCCTATACCTCACCAAAGAAACTTTATTATAATAAAACAGTAATAACCCTGAAGATTTGGATTTGTGATGACCGGGAGATAGGGTTTCCCAATTTCGGCTGGATGTATTCCTGGAGGTTTCAGCACATGACATAATCTTTAATTCCTGGAGACTCCAGGACAATGTTGGAGGGATGGCAACCCTACCGGGAGAACCACTTGGTGAATTGCCTGCTAGGTGCAAAGATTGCGGACCTCTCAAGGCATCTAGACAGACTTGTGTAGTGCTGAGGAGGAGCTGGTGGTTGTGATACATGTAGGTATCAATACTTAGGGAAAGGTAGGAGAGAGGTTCTGGAGGCCAAATGTTAGGCAAGAGATGAGAGTCCAGAACCTCCATGGTAGCAGTCTTCAAAATGCTTCCAGTTCCACATGCAGGGCCAGTTAGACAGGCAGAACATTCAATGCATGTATGAGATGATGGTGTTGGGAGGAGGGATTTAGGTTTATTAGGAACTGAGGAACCATTTGGGAGATTAGAGAGGCTACAAAAACAGAAAATCCAGTAATAATATGGGACTTCAACAGTTGCCATATTGACTGAGTATATGTCACCTCCAGATGGGATGCAGAGATAAAATGTAACACCATTAAAAAAAAAAGTCTCCATTCAAGAAAGAGATCTTGGCGTTATTGTGGATAGTTCTTTTAATGATCAGCAGTGGTCAAAAGGGCTAACAGTATGTAAGAAATTATTAGGAAAGGGATTGATAATAATAATGAAAAAAGATAAATCCATGGTTAAGCCACACCTGGAATACTGTTTGCAGTTCGGATCTCCCTATCTCCAAAAATATATTCGAATTGGAAAAAGCACAGAGAAGGGCAACAAAAAATGATTAGGTGTATGGAACAGCTTCCATATGAGGAGAGAGTAAAAAGAGTGGATCTGTTTATCTTAGAAAAGAGGTGACTGAAGGAGGATACAACAGTTCAATTAAAATCATGAGTTGTGTGGAAAAAACAAATAGGGAAGTGTTATTTACCCCTTCACTTAACACAAGAACCAGGGGTCACCCAATGAAATCAATAGGCAGCAGGTATAAAACAAACAGAAGGAAGTACGTCTTCACACAATACAAAGTCAATCTCTGCAACTTGTTGCCAGTGGAATGTTGTGAAGGCCAAAAGTATAACTGGGTTCAAAAAAGCATTAGATAAGTTCATGGAGGATAGATTCCATCAGTGGCTCAATAATTGTCCTGTACTGTTCATTTCCTCTGAAGCCACTGACTCTGGCCACTGTAGAAATACAAGATACTGGGCTAGAAGGACCACTGGTCTGAACCAGTATGGAGTTCTTATGGGCAGCAAAAAAAAATTTGACAGTATTTTTTTTTTTTTTAACTTTCTCCCTTTTGCCCTCAAATATCGTTCGGGGAATAGTTTCACAAATTTTGTCCTATGAAATATCTGTACAGGAGTATAGTTCTTCTTTGACTGATTGCATCTGTCCATTCCACTTCAAGTGTGCGCACACCCAGTGCACTAGCGTCAGAAATTTTTCCCTCCAATGTACCCATCAGTATCTTTTCTCATGCTGCTGTGCAATGGTATAAAGGGTGGAGCCAACCTATCTCAGTTCTATTTATCGCCTGTAATGATTGTCAGAATGTTTTATCTTGCTGTTTTAGGTGTTTCCCTTTTTCTTAGTGTTTTATTGTTTAATAGTTGTTTTATAGTCTTAGTTCAGGGGTCCCCAATGCAGTGCCTGCGGGTGCGATGGTGCTTCCATGTGCGCCCGTCTACTGGCCACCGGACAAGCAGCCGCCAAAATGCCGCCGTGAAGCGGCAACGTCAAGAGGCCCTGCTGCCTCTTGACGTTGCCGCTTCACAGCGGCATTTCGGCAGCTGCTTGTCCGGCGGCCCCGGTCCCCGGTGGGTAGTCGTCCAGCGCCTGCCCACGGAAAAGGTTGGGGACCACTGTCTTAGTTTATAGTCTTAGTTTAATTTTCTACTATTAGGTTTCCTTTTTTACTCGTTTACTTAGTATAACTAGTTCCCTCTAGATTGGGTTCTGATGCCCAGGGCTAGGGCATGCCTTAGTCCCCAGATTTCAAACTTTGCGATGCATGCAAGAACCCAGTGCCAGTCAGTGACCACACTATGGGTGCCTGAAGTGCCTAGGAGAAGCTCACATTAGAGACAAGTACCAAATCTGCAGGGACTTTAAGCCAGAACTAAAAAAAAACAAAAGAACAGGGAGGTCAAACTAAGCATCTTAGGGTGACAGCTTTGTTCCCATCCTTGGAGTCTTCCTGCTCAGGGTGGGCACCAAGTGCCTCTGCTTTGGTCAGGAGCACTCCCACTGCGATGGGAGAGTCTCAGCGCCAATCTCCTTCTCCAGTACCTAAGAAGCAGCACTGGAGATCTGTCATCCCAGGTGAGCAAGGTCCACATCCAGTGATCAAACTGGGAAGAATAGTATCTGCACCAAAGAGTGCTTCAGCACCAAGCGCACTCTACCCTCAGCAGCAAGAGAGTCTCCTGATGCCATCAACACCCAAGGTATATGCCACAGCACACAATCTTCTGAGTCTCTTGGTGCTGGTTTCTCTGGGAGTCCAGCAGACATCTTGACCATTACTGATGGACAATGTCACGGATTTGCTGGCTACTAGTGTTCAGTACCCAATACCATGGGTACCCTGTGGACACTCTGGTACTCCCTCATACGCAACCCGGCTATGATTTCCCCAATGCTGTCCTCTAAGGACTCCTGGCACCACTCTGGCATCAAGAGACGCCTCTCTTCCCTGGCTAGATAAGTTAGAAGTGGGATCTTGCATGTCATGGCTGCGTCACATAGGCCTTCAGTCTCCTCTGAGAAGTTTTCACCTCTTGGTATCCAGCAGAGTCTCCCTGTTGGCTGGCTAGTAGGGAGCCATGATTGGGAAGAAATTGGGCTCCAGTGCCATATCAGTGGCTGTATTGGAACTCATGGATTTTCCTGCTGTCTCCAAATCCTCTCCATACCCTTCCCCCTCTACATTCGCCAGTAGACATTGTGAACCTGCATGGCAAGAACTACAGGAAGCCACTCCCAGTGCCAAGCCGAGTACTGAACACGGGGAACCTGCCTCAGTGAATCTCCATTTGGAGGGACTGGGCAAATCTCCACCTCAACTAGTGTTGGATTCCTCCTCCTCATTGTCCGAGTAGTATCTGGGGTTTCCTCACCAGCGCCAGACAATTATTGGGCCCACCAGGACCTCTTACAGAGGGTGGCTTCCTTGCTAAATATTCAAGTGGAAATAATTCACAAGAGTTCATGCAGATTGGTTAATATCTTGGGATCTTGAGAAGTGCTCCCAATAAAGGAGGCTGTTCTGGAACCCACTGCAGTGTATTATGGCAACCGCTATCTTCCCTGCCTCCTAAAGCGCTGAGTGGAGGTATCCTGTCCCCTTCCAGGGGTTTAAACAGTCGCCCCCTTCCCCTCCCCCCTGTGAGGCAAATCCACAGTAAGACCAGGGCTGTTCTCTCAGTTGCCAGACTCACCCCTCCAACAGAGCCTGCAGTGACTCATCACTAAGTCTACGTCTACACTACCGCGTTAAGTCGACCTACGCTACGCAACTCCAGCTACGTGAATAACATAGCTGGCGTCGACGTACCTTAGGTCGAATTACCACGAGGGGTCGACGGGAGAAACTCTCCCATCAACTTACCACACTTGTCTTGTCGGGGGTAGAGTACCAGGGTCGACTGGAGAGCGTTCTGCTGTCGATTTGGCGGATCTTCACTAGGCCCGCTAAGTCGACTGCCGGTGGATCGATCTCAGAGCACTGATCCCGGCTGTAGTGTAGACCTACTGCAGCAACTCAGCTTCACTAACTCATCCCATAAACAGAGCCTGCAGTGACTCATCCCTCAGGTATGCTGAAGTAGCTTATCCCTGAGCAAAGCCTGGGTCAGATGACCTCCAGGCACAGGTATAGGCTGCTGCCCCGAATGGCGCAGTCCCACAGTTTGGGGACCATTGGGGTAGAGTGTGGCTCCACCTTTTTTGTAACACTGTGTAACAGTAGGAGGCAGCAGAGAGGGCATGCACTGACCTGATGTACAGCTGAGGGACGCTAGTGCACTGGGCATGCACGCATCTGAAGTGGAGTGGACATGTGCAACACATTTTGAAGAAGAACAATAACAGAGCAGGTTAGTAACTGTTTTTCTGTATGAGTGAATCAGAAGTGTATTTTTAACCTTCTTGTTTTCCTTTTTTCTCCTTTTATGGCTTCCTGGTAGGGGAAAGATACGTGCCTGGAGTGAGTAGTGTGACAAAAGAAGAAATTACTATGAGAGAAATTATTCATCTGCTCTGCATTGACCCAATGGCTCACAGTGCTATTGCCAAATCTTTGCCTGAGAATGTGAGTCTATTTTTTTTTTTTTTGCTTCCTTCCCTCTTCTACTGCCTATTTCTTTAGTGTTTTACTTTTTCTTTTGATGGAAACCACAGATTTTGGATTTAGAGTTACAGTGAAGTATGACTACATTTTGGTAAGATGAGTGTTTTCCCCCCTTGTTAAAGATAAATGCATGGTGCTCTTCAAGGGAAATTTAACAACCGTCCACAGTTAGTTGTGTGTCTGTGTCCTTCAGACTGGCAGCCTGCAGCCAAGAACATCCTAGAACCAGTCATTGTCCTAGTACAAATATACACATTCATAGTATGGTTCTAATCTGAAAAAATACTGTAGAAGGATTGCATTTTGGTACTCAGGGAGCAGGAGTTTTGAGTTTATTCTGAGTCATAGTTACTAACTAAATGACAAATATTTTTTTAAATTATTTCTTCTGTTGGACCTGCAGAGCTAGTGCAGCTGAAAGAGAGGGAGCTGAACTCTATTCCATCTTATGCATCAACAGTATTATTTACTAAATTCTAATCAGTTACCATTGTGCAAATCTATTTGAAAACAATTGCACAGGTGTAGTTGAAAGTATAGTTTTGTCCTGCTGAAAAATTTACTTCTGATAAAGAACAAGATGGAAAGAATTCATTTTAACTGTCATAGCCCAGACTGATTTTTATAGGGCTGGCAGTTAGGAGAAAAAACCCTCATTTTGCTTTCAAATTGAGTATATTATGAAAATTATTGTAAACCCCAAACATAGATTCCACGGATGCCATTTTTAGAGACTAACCTTTCAGAATTAAAAACTGTGTGGCCTGCCCTCGCTTAATAGTAAGGTGAAAAATTGCTCTTTGGATGGGGCACAACTCTGATAAAAGTAATGTCTGAAGGTAGTTCAGTGAGCAAAGGAGTCTTGATGTTCTCTCTTGGACATCCTTCTACATTTCCCATTCCAGGGGTGGGAGTACTTATTATTTTACTCATCACCAAATTTGTAATTTGAATATCTCAATTTTGGATGAGCATTGACAAAATACATTAGTCCATAGGTTAAATATGGAATTGATCTAGATGGCTCTTTATACTTACCATGCAAACTGTCTGTGGGTTTTTGTTGCAGTAATAATGGCGTATTTCACAAGTGATCGATTTGAGGTGATTTTATTAGAGTAGATACAGGCTGGTATAGATTCTGATACTGATAGGTTAGTCTTACATGTTATGAACTGTCATATTTTAGTCCTAATATTCTAGACTGTAACCTAATACTGTAGTATATATGTGTATGTAAAAATATGCTCTGTGTTAAATGTTTTAACAGGAAAACAATGAAACTGGCTTGGAGAAAGTAATAAACAAAGTGGCTGTATTCAAGTAAGCTCTTAATACTACTTTATAGATAACATTCAGGTGAAGGGATGAGAGCTCTAAGGATTCATTTACACTGCAATAAAAAAAATCCACGGCACTGAGTCTCAGAACCTGGGTCAATTGACTTGGGTTTGTGAGGCTTATGCTGCCGAGCTAAAATTTGCAGGGTAGACACCCAGGCTCTGAGACCCACCCCATTCACAGGGTTTCAGAGCCTGGGCTCTGGCCTGAGTCCGAACGTCTGCTCTGCAGTTTTTAGCCCCATGAGCCTGAGTCAGTTGACCTGAGCCAGCTGCGACCATGCTGCTTGTCTTTTATTGCAGTCTAGATGTACCCTAATTAGACTGTTGGTCATGCTACACAAACTCCTCTCCTGTTTTGTAAGCTTGAAATACTTTTCTATACACAAATGAAAACAAATATAAGTGGAGTCCCCATACTAATGGAGGAGATTTTTAAAAGCTCACTTTCTTTTGTGGTAGCTGGCCACCATACCGCTACCTGCCCTTTTTACCTTTTGAAAATCTCCCCTAATGTTTGGTTTAGACTGCTCTTTACTTGTTTACTTTTCTGCCAGAAAACTGTTGGCTACCATCTGTAGGTAGAAAAGATCCTTTTCATAGGCAACCAAGGAAACCATCGATTATGGTACTTTGACATCTGAATTGATTTTGGTCAGTTATGATTCTGTCCAAAAAAACCAACAACCACACAACAAAAACTTCCAATTCAATTGCTGTAGTCTCCCTTATTCTGAATTGCTTGTGGCTTGCTCTGTTTACATTTAACCAAAGGGAACCATAGATATGGCTAGAATTTTTGTTTTGAGGGTAGGATGGGGGTTAAAAGAAGAGACCTTTCAGTGTACTTCACTGGGAAGCATATCATTATGTTACTTAGATTAGTGCCTAGCTTGAAAAGGAATTGAAGATTATACAGTGAGGCACAATGCAGGCCAAATGTCTGAAATTCTAGGTGAAAGTTTTAATTAATTCATCTGTGAATAATCTCCTGGTGCCATGTGTCAGAGAGCAATGGGCAGGATCCATAGGAAAGTGTATTGCTGGTAGTTAAAAACTGGTAACTGAATTCTGTTTGTACTTTGTAATGTAATGAAGTTGCCATCCTTGTTTAAATATGCAGAGCCAGGTCCCATTGTGTTCCGTTTCACTCTTAACATTTCCTTAGGAAGTAATTACATTACTTGCTGCTTGTGCTATAAATAAGCACTGAGGATGTGTTGTTAATCCATGTATTGTAAATGTTTTTTTAGGAAACCGGGTGTGTCAGGCCATGGAGTTTATGAATTGAAGGATGAATGCATGAAAGAATTCAATATGTTCTTTTATCACTATACCAAGACCCAGCACAGCAAGGTAGACAATGTGAAGGGCAGAGGAGAGCACACACTTTTGTTCTCTGCTTAAACAAACCTGGTGAACTGAAGGGAGGGATGTAATGGAGTCTCAAGATGTTAGAGTGCTTAATAATATATCTCTGATTTATTTCTTTTAATGTATTCTACTTAATCCTCGAACCATACTCATAGGGAAGCTAACTTTTGTTTTTTTGACAGAGGAGACAGCAAAGATGTTTTTCATGTGACAAAAACTGTTCTTCTGTAATTAAGCTGTAAAAAACTACCATCAATATTCTAGTAAAACATTATTCAAATTCACAAACACAACTCTACTACACAAAGATAATCTTGATAATCTCCGCTTCTGTGCAGCACAAGAAAATATCAATGTGGGTTTTTTTGGTGTACGTGTAACTTTTTTAAAAACAAAGAAACCGTTTTAATGCAGCTGTGAGTCCAGGACGTTTAGCCTGGGAATTTTGAAAGGCGCCTAAAGCATTTAGGTGCCTGCCTCCCACTGAAAATCAGAGAGAGTTGAGTGCTTAAGTCGCTTGGATCCCTTTGAAAACTCCAGCCTAAATTTTCAGTTTTTTAACAGGTGACAAGCAATGTAGGTTAATAAAAGCATTATCAGATTGCATACTGGAGACAGACTCCATCTAGGGAACAAATTATAGAAAGTGTAGTGAAGACACAATGGGACAGCTCCTCTGCCAGTGTAAATCCATGGAGCTATGATAACTTACACCAGCTAAGGATCTACCCCAGTGCTTTTTAAGAGCAGTACCTATGTGGTTTTCCCTTCTCCACCCACGCATTACAGGTATTTTTTTCCGCTGTTTCTGCTACAAAGTTTGAAATCTCCATTTACTCTCTTCATGTTTAAGTTCAGCTAAACCTTTTGTTGCACACTACAACTTCCTTTTATGTATGGCAGTAAAAGGAATTAGGTCTCTTTGGGATGCCAGATGTCACACAAGATTGTTAAGCTCTAGTAAAAAATACCTGTTAGAAAAATAAGATGCCAGGTCAAAAAAAGACAAAATACTAGCTCACCCAAACAGGGGAAGAAGCATAATTTGGCCCTAAATAAATGTGCATAGTTCCACAGTGCATTTAAAAGATTTGAAAATATATATATATTATCTAGTCCAGGTCCAGAGGCCCTCAAAGTATGGGGTGTGCTTCACTAGGGGGGCGTGGAGGACTGTCCGTTGGGCGCAGGGGGGGAGGGAGCGAGCACCATCCAGCCCCTCCCCCAGCTCTGCTCTGGTCCTGCCCCCAGCCGCATCCCCAGCTCCTGGCTCTGGCCCTGGCCCCAGCCTCGGCGTGGCTCCGCTCCCAGGCCCGCGCAAGCCCCCAGCAGCCATGACTCTGTTCCCGGCTTGGGGCAGAGGCTGGGAGCAAGGCCAGGAGTTGGAGCCACACCTGGCCGCAGGCCCAGCTACCAGCCCTCACCACAGCCTGGCTGTGGTTCTGCCCCAGCCTCGGTCCCGCTCTCAGCCCCACACCCCAACCTCGGCCCCCTTACCCCGTCCACTTCTCACCCCAAGCTGCAGCCCCACTCCTGGCCCTGGCTCCAGGGGTGGGGAGACATTGCCCGAGGTAAGGGGGGGGGCGTGACCCTCAAAAGTTTGGGGACCACTGGTCTGGGCAAAGTGAAGTAATTGCGTTGCTCATTTGTAGTATAATACAAATCAAAGCAGATCTTTACAAATTATTTTTCAATTTTTTTTTCTATCTTTTAGGCCTCCCTGGATGAGCAGTATTGTATCGAAGTAAAAAAAAAAAAATCAAACTAATATAAATTTGCAAAATATATTAAATATGGTTACCCATAAAGATATTTTATTAGATGGAGAGCTATCTTCACAAGTTTTTTTTCTTCTTCTTTGAGATGTACTGATCAAAAGAAATACTATACAGGATCAACACATTTTTTACATTCTTGTAATAGGGGAGAATTTAAATGCATAGGCTCTTTCAGAAAGAATTGACTTCCTCATAGATGTTCACAAGAAAATATGTTGAATTTGTATTTGTATAAATGGATACGTACTATACACAGAACTTCAAGGGAATAATTGTAGTTTTCCACACACTGTTATAAAATGTACTAAGAAAAGTTAAACTTATCCCTACTATAGGTTTATTTTAGTGTTTGCACTAGTTTTATTATCCAGGCCCACAACATGTTTTCATATGCTGATGAATTATACAGTGTGGGCGGAGTGTCAAAGTAAATCTCAGTGGATCTTGCTACGTTTGTTAGTCTAGTGTCCCTGATGGTTTCACTGAAGAATCCTTCAGTGCTGTTGGTACAATAACTTAGGCCAACTTTCTTACAGGCTGAACATAGGCAGAAGAAGAGAAGAAAACAAGAAAACAGAGATGAAGGTAAAAGGTTGGACTGGATGATAGACCAAGTGCTATGGTTCAGTGCACCAGTCTCCTTTGTGCTTATAAAATAAAAACTTTGGTATGTGGCTCAGGGATTGATAATGGGATAGAAATTATATTGAATCCAGGGTCACAGGTTGGAAATAGACCTATATCTTTATTGACCATAACGTGTTACCACCAAACATCTTTTTGGTGATTTTTTTTTTTTAAACAGTTTGGGAGGGCTCTCAGTTTAGTTTCTAGTGGACAGATGTCCACAAATTCAACTCACCATCAAAACAGGCACACTTGTTGGCAATCTAGAGAGACCAAGGAGACTAAAGTAATTTTTCTCCTTTTATAGGTGGTGGTTCTGGGATCAGGTTGGTGGGGTAGTGTAGGGAAGATTGTACTGTTGCTGCCAGTGCTGTGCCTGTTCTATGGATGACTTCATTTTAAACTACCATAAATTTGATATCTTTCACAAACAATCAAAACTCTCTTTAAAAGTCACAAACTCCATGTGTCAGAAACTTAGAGATAAGACTGTGTTTCAGTTGTAACAGAACTATTATCCCCTCTTTCCCTAACCTCCCTTTTTAATTCCACAATCACCATTCAAGTCATGAACTGTAATTGAAGAGCTTTGGGAAAAACTGTTGGTGCACTGGGCAGTTATTTGCATATGAACAAAGTTAAAAAAAAAAAAAATGGAGATATCCCATCTCCTAGAACTGGAAGGGACCTTGAAAGGTCATCGAGTCCAGCCCCCTGCCTTCACTAGCAGGACCAAGTACTGATTTTGCCCCAGATACCCAAGTGGCCCCCTCAAGGATTGAACTCACAACCCTGGATTTAGCAGGCCAATGCTCAAACCACTGAGCTATCCCTCCCCCCCAAAGCGATACTTGCATTGGCCGGGAAACGAACCCGGGCCTCCCGCGTGGCAGGCGAGAATTCTACCACTGAACCACCAATGCTAATTACGTTTAAGACCAACGTCTTGCCAGTATACTAATAAAATGGTATTTGTCTAGTTATTCTCCCCAAGTTTTCAACTGGATACACTGGTCTTCGCTTTCCATTCTAAACTGTGGTTTAATATTGTGTACTGTTAAGCAGCGCTGCAGAGTTCTATATCAGCAGTGTGTGAAATTATTTCTTAGGAAATTGTATAGTGTGCTTTGGGAGCCTTTCAACTGAAAAATGCTGATTGAAGAAAAGTAACCTGACATTTGTTTAAAAGGACACAGTCGACTTGGAAATTGCATTCTGTCTGAATTTTATATCTCCTTTGTTTATAAGTAACACCCAAAATCCCTATAACTGGAAAGTCAGTGAAGAGAAAATTCTCTTGTTGGTGTCCCCCCGCCCCCCATTCGCTTACTTTGTACATTGACAACATTTACATATAATATCTTTCACTTTCCCCCATTACTGGAAACAGCAGGAGTGCAGAAAACAATTATACATTTTTGTAAGATTTTTTTTTTTTTAAATCCTAACTTTTATATAGTGCCTTGTCAAACTGGATTTCATGTAAATTGGGGAATTCAGATAAATATCAACTTAATGTCTCTAAGGTAATACGTATTCCTGTTCCTTCACCGGCATGTGTCAGGCTCTGTTTAGTGCTTTGCATGCAAATTTCTACTATAAAAATTTGAGAACTTAATGTCAAATATTACAGAAGCAAAGCAACTGAAGAACTGTAGTGTTCTGTATACCATATTTCTGCTTGTGAAAAAGTAAAATATTCTGGCTCTCAGCTGTATTGGAAGACCATTATGCACATGTTTTTAAAACTTTAACTATCTTTATAAAACTCAGGATATGTGAAAGCTGAGAGACCATACAAAATATTTAAAGCTTTCTAAAGTTCAGAGCTGTGATTTCTAAGCATCTGCAACTGTTTGTCTCTCATGCACTCACTTTTTTCGGACACTGTATTTTACATACAAACTAAATGGAGGTAGTGGTGAAAACTTCATTGAAAAGGCTAGTGAGTGTGGTTGGAAACTTGCTCACTGACTGAAATATACTCTCACACCCCTCACCCGCCCACTTGATAGCAGTGTACCTGTTGTCTCCACTTCCTGCTCACAA